TTACGAGCAAGTATACCTGTGCGTCAACCTTTGAAAAACGCGGTTTTTGACCTTAAGCCCAGATTTTGGGGGTGTATTTAAAATTCTGAGTATGCAGATTTTACTGCTTGAATAGACCTACAACAAGTGTGAACCTCGAAAAAACGATATAAACTTTTTTCTGTCACTCAGTGTTATTTAGATCGTCTTTAATTATCTGTATACCGTCGTACAAAACCGCGTATCAACAAAATGCCAAGCCGCCTATGTGAGGTCGCATAAATTATTATCTAGATAGTAAAAACACTCATATTTCAAAATGGTTCTCTTTTTTATAAAGCAATCGCATTTCTGGATAGTATATTTTAGGACGAATGGATAAGGATTGAGCCAACAGCTTTTGTAAGGAAATCCAATTTTTGGCAGCAAATGTCAGCTACGCGATTTTGCAGAATGACGATACGCGGTTTTGTGCTTTATACGACCATATGCATGTATGTATATGTAAATATATAGCCAGCAAAAACTGCGGAAAGAGATCCGAAAACTGAAAGGAAGGTGAATAAAAAAGTGCCACGAAGGGTTGTGAAACGAATACTTTTCCGGTTGTTTTTCTGAAATTTTTCATTCTGAACTTCACATATGATTTTCCATAATTAATTATACTCAGAAATTAAGTATACTTTTATAAATATTTTTTAATATGTTCGTCTGCCGGCATTAGAACCTGGGACCTCATGAAAGCTTACAAATAGTCGCACGCTTCTCTGCACACTCAGCTACTGTCGAATACGTATATGTACATGTTTTCAAATGTTCAGTTTGAACAAATATTTTAAAATTATTAAAGGTACTCATATATACGCGCAAGTTTCATATTTGGGCAATTGGACAACTTTGTGCCATGTGTTTCGAGAATAATTTTATATTTTATGCAATTTCTGACATTTAATTATTTGACTATAATTAATTTATAAAGTTGAACAATTGAAACTCAAATTTGAGTAAATATTTAGGTCTTGCCGCAGTTATTTCGAAAAAGCGTTGAGCACAAACCAAAATGGATGTAAACAAAATAGCTGACTGAGGGTTGCACACAACACTGCGCAAATTTGCGATACAAAAATGCCGTGCAAAGTTTCCCTTTTTGTGCAAATGGCATTCCATACAAATTTTGACATTTCATTTGCGAGGGTTTAAAATTGCACGGTTTGCGAGAGTTTTGCGCTTTTAAATGAGTACCCTTATTGTTTTCAAATAACGTGATATTTTTCTGTAGTTTTCGGATACGTATATTATATTATATATTAAAATTTTACCAAAACTGGAAAATACAAACGTTCACAAGCACGAAATGGCAATAGCGCTCAACAATATTTGTATATTTGTCACCGGCATTTGTCATCAAGTGGCAAATCAGATATTTGGTCATTTGCGTAATTTTTATTTGGTTTATGTAGCAGCATTGCGTTCACACGATTTGGTCACCAGGGTTGTTTTTGATTTACCACAAGAAGGCAAATATTTGGCTTTTCTGATAAATGGCAAATGCAATTTAGCGTTCACATGATTTGTCTATGAATTTGACAAATTTTTAGCCAAATGTACAAATCGTGTGATCCCAGCTTAAGGAATTTAATTTTTCGAAGATCTGACCTTTGACCCGTTATAGCACCTGTAATGTAAGTTTTCACAAAAAAAGTTATATACCATATAAATATGAGAAAAAGGCGGACCACGTCTGTATTTTTATTTTTTTGCTTTTTACATGCAATAATTAAAAATAATTTTTTACCAAAGGTCCAATTTCGAACTTCGAAGGCCCATATCTCGATTTCGGAGGCTAACTTCGAAAAAGGGAGAAATCTCTGTTTTACCTATGACTCAATCTCCTAAAAAAAATTGGTTTGGCCCAATACCCAGAGAAAAAAGTTGATTTTGCCGTACAGTGTTATCATAGATCAGTAACGGTAAGTCTCGCCTTCAATTTGGTAATTATTACGTACTGATCGAGTAACCTTTACCAAAGTTATATCGAAAAACTTAAGTGGATCTCCAGTTTTTTTTTCTAAAAAAGAATCTCTTCAATTGTATAAATAACTTTTAAATAAAATAACCGGATTACAGAAACGAGTGACTTTTTTCGTTCAAGCTGAATGCAAAGCAATATCGGCCAATTGGAGAGTCCTCAAAAGGATTTCTCAGGATTTGTTAAGGACTATTGTATTTACCTATAGTCTTTTTCACATAATGGAATTAACTAAAATATTTATATCTAAACACTTTTTCCACGTCCCCTACTTTCATATAACGGCATATTTAGAAACCGCAAAAAATGTGCTTCTTCGGTGACTAATGAAACCATTCCGCTCCGATTTTCAAGACTGAATAAATGGACTTAAAATGGGAATTTCTTAACCTAATTTTATTTTGTTAATGTATGCAAATACTAATGTGCTTGAAACTACTATTAACTTATCAACCGATTCTTAACCTTGGTCAATACATGTTTGACTTTATTCAGCACGATCTTGAAAACTGACCAAATCGGCGTGACCAAGTACATGGTCCTTTTAAGATTATATAAACATCCGAAAACTTTGAAACGTTTGAAATAAGTATCGTCTCACTTTTTCTTATTTTTTACTCGGTTGCTGGAGTAATGAAGAATTAAAAATTCATAAGGGCAAATTATAGTTTTTGTAAGTTTTATCTTAATATCTTAAAAACTTGTAGACTTATTGAAAAATGATAAATGAACGTGAGGTAATAAATTTAATAACCCTTA